ACTTCTCTATTGATATATACTTCACAAATCATAAAGTTCACCCTTTCACTGGGTGCAATTCAGTGGTTTATAGTATAGTCACAAAGTTGTGCATCACTGCCCTCTAACTTAGAACAGTTTCATCACTCCATGTCTTGAGAAGGGTTGCTGATGCCCAAAGTGTGCCACCAGGTACATTAATTCGTAAACCACTAATCTACTTTCTGACCTATGGGCTGTCCAATATTTTTATTTGTGAATTTTATTTTTTGGAGACAGGGCCTTACTCTGTCACCTAGGCTGGAATGCAGTGATGCAATCACAGCTCACTGAAGCCTTAACCTTCTGGACTCAAGCGATACCCCCACCTCAGCCTCCATAATAGCTGCTGGGACTACAGGTGTGTGACACCACACCCAGCTTATTATTATTTATTTTTTTGGAGATGCAGTCTTTCTCTGCCACCAAGGCTGGACTGTAGTGGTGCAATCTCAGCTCAATGCAACCTCTGCCTCCTGGGTTCAAGCGATTCTCCTGTCTCAGCCTCCCAAGTAGCTAGGACTACAGGCACCTGCCATCATGCTTGGCTAATTTTTAAATTTTTAGTAGAAACGGGGTTTTGCCATGTTTGCCAGGCTGGTCTCGAACTCCTGACTTCAGGTGATCCACCCACCTCGACCTCCCAAAGTGTTGGGATTACAGGCATGAGCCACTGCGCCTGACCTGGACTTACCAATACTGAACGTTTCATGTAAATGGAATCATACAAAATATGGCCTTTTATGTCTGGCTTGTTCCACTTAGCATAATGTTTTCAAGATTCATCCAGGTTGAGTCATATATTGATACTTTATTCCTTTACTACTCCTGTGTATGGATATACCACATCTGCTTATCCAATCATCAGCTGATGAATATTGGAGTCTACTTTGGCCACTCAAATATCTCTCTTTTTTTTTGAGATGGAGTCTCGCTCCATTACCCAGGCTGGAGTGCAGTGGCATCATCTCGGCTCACTGCAACCTCCGCCTCCCGGGTTCAAGCAATTCTCCTGCCTTAGCCTCCCGAGTAACTGGGATTACAGGCACCCGCCACCATGCCCAGATAATTTTTCTATTTTTTTTAGTAGAGACGAGGTTTTGCCATGTTAGCCAGGCTGGTTTCGAACTCCTGACCTCAAGTGATCTGCCCACCTCAGCCTCCCATAGTGCTGGAATTACAGGCATGAGCCACTGTGCCCGGCCTCAGGTACTTCATTTTACAGACAAGGAAACTGAGACCCCAAAGTCGCCATAACCTGGATGGGATAGGAGTCCAGGCCTCTCCTAACATCCACCTTTTCCTACTGTATCACCCCAGTTCCAAGCACATTGAAAGATCACCCAGCCAGGGGACAGTCACTGCAGCAGCATTTCATCCAGAGACTTCAAGGTTTTGCTCCCGGCTCATGAATGCTGGGCCACAGCTCTATTCTCAATGACTCAAATCATGTCCACTGCCCGCTGCCCCCTCTCCCAGGCCCGGGTGACCATTGTCTCTTCTCTGTTCTTAGCTGGTCTTAGCTGGTCCTGCTTTCACTCTTGTCCCACTGTAAATTATTCCCAACCTTAGGAATCAGCAAACCTGCTAAAAACCTACGTCGGATCATGTCTCTGCTCTGCTCATGGCCCCTTTAAACAGCCCAAGTCCTCGCCGTGGCCTTTGCAGGCTCATAGTATCAGAGGTGTCTGAATAAGAGCAACCCCATCTTGAGTAGGAGCTGGGTAAAATGAGTTTGAGACTTACTGGGCTGCATTCCCAGAAGGTTAGGCATTCTAAGTCGCAGGATGAGATTGGAGATCAGCACAAGATACAGGTCACAAAGACCTTGCTGCTAAAACAGTTTGCAGTAAGGAAGCCTGTCAAAACCCACCGAAACCAAAATGGCCACGAGAGCTACCTCTGGTCATCCTCACTGCTACACTCCCACCAGAGCCATGACAGTTTACAAATGCCATGGCAACATCAGGACGTTACCCTATGATCTAAAAAGGGGAAGCAAAGGCCTTGCACAGTGGCTCACACCTGTAATTCTAGCACTTTGGGAGACCGTGGCAGGCAGATGACCTGAGGTCAGGAGTTTGAGACCAGCCTGGGCAACATGGCAAAACCCTGTCTCTACTAAAAATAAAAAATAATTAGCTGGGCATGGTGCCTGTAATCCCAGGTGCTTGGGAGGCTGAGGCATGAGAATTGCTTGAACCCAGAAGGAAGAGGTTGCAGTGAGCCAAGATCGTGCCACTGTACCAACCTGGGCAACACAGTGAGACTGTCTCAAAGAAAAAAAAATTTTAAAGGGAAGGCATGAATAATCCACCCCTTGTTTAGCATATCATCAAGAAATAACTGCCAACTGCAGTGGCTCACTCCTATAGTCCCAGCACTTTGGGAGGCCAAGGCGGATGGATCACAAGGTCAGGAGTTCAAGACCAGCCTGGCAGAGATGTTGAAACCCAGTCTCTAAACAAAAATACAAAAATTAGCCAGGTGCAGTGGCAGGAGCCTGTAATCCCAGCTACTCGGGAGGCTGAGGCAGGAGGATCGCTTGAACCGGGGGGACAGAGGCTGCAGTGAGCCAAGATTGCGCCACTGCACTCCAGCCTGGGTGACAGATGAGACTTCATCTTAAAAAAAAAAAAGAAAAAGAAATAACCATAAAATGGGCAACTGGCAGCTCTCTGTGCTGTGCTGTCTATGGAGTAGCTATTCTTTTTATTCCTCTACTTTCTTTTTTATTCTTTTTTTTTTTTTTGAGACGGAGTTTTACTCTCTTTGCCCAGCCTCCCAAGCAGCTGGGATTACAGGCATGTGCCACCCCACCTGGCTAATTTTGTATTTTTAGTAGAGACGGGGTTTCTCCATGTGGGTCAGGCTGGTCTCAAACTCCCAACCTCAGGTGATCTGCCTGCATCGGCCTCCCAAAGTGCTGGGATTACAGTCGTGAGCCACGGTGCCCAGCTTTCCTCTCTTTTTCTATTTTATTTTTTATTTTTTCTCACTAGTTTATACCTCCTCTACTTTCTTAATAAACTCTTTATGGACTCGCCCTGAATTCTTTCTTGTGTGAGATCCAAGAACCCTTACCTGAGGTCTGGATCGGGACCCCTTTCCAGTAACAACATGGTCCTATCCCAGCTCCCTCTCTGATGTCACCTCGCTCTGTTCCAGCCTGACACTTCTCCTTCCCCAAATATACCAAGCACACTTCTGCCCCAGGACCTTTGCACTGGCTCTTCTGCCTGCATTAGTCTTCTCCTCACAATCACGTGGCTCATTACCTCCCTTCCTTTGCCAAAAGAATGGCCCCACCAAAGAGGCCTTTCCCAAGAACTTTCTATAAAACAGCGCCTCTTCCCTTCATGCTTTGTAATGTCCTTTATTTTTCTTCACAGCGCTAATCACAACCTGACATCATTTATATTTATTTATTCACTTATCTTCTGTCTCCTTCACTAGAATCTGAGCTCCATCGGAGCAGGAATTCTTGCCGATGTTGTTTACTACTGTACCTCCTGTGCCAGCACATAGTAGGTGCTCAATAGGTATTTACGGGATGGGTGACTCAAGCCTTCCAGTGAATAAACAGTCCAGTGTTCTCATCAAACCATCCCGGCGCCCACCAGGCGAGTAATATCACAGTAACAATGGCAGCTAAGTTTTCGGGAGCATTTCCTATGCTCCAGACCTCAGAAACATGATTTGTTTACACAGGACACTGCTTTCAATCCTGGAACCCTGATAATGGGGTGTGATCATGAGCTCAGAAGTTAGGTGACTCGCCCGAGGCCACAGGGGACGGCAGCAGAAGAGGAATACAGACATGCAGCCTGACGGCAGAATTGTGTTCTTAAACCTTTAAGTTATAATTTACCACATGCTGTAGAAAGAAGAAAACAGTCGAGATGGAAGCCACCTGGCGAGCTCAGGGCCGCAGGTAGGAGCGCTGCTACGCACGTATGGGAGTCCGTCCCCATCGCTCTTTGATGTTTGCAGAGTCCGTGGCCCCACTGACCCCGTCGTGAGTTATGGGAGCCACGGGACCCATAACCCAGCATTCCCGGACTCCCCGGGTCGTCAGGACACTGCCCCGCGCGGTGATGGATGAGCCGGCCCCAGCTCTGGCTTTGTCCGGGTCGGAACGGACAGAGAAGCTTCAGACCGGCTTTGGACGGGGCGTGGCGAGAGGCGGGCCGCGTGTGTGTGTGTGTGTGTGTGTGTGTGTCTTGAGGAGATTGTCTTTCTCCCTTTCCTATCGGGAAAGGGGGCACAAGTGTGCCGCCGGCGCCCCAGGTGAGCTGGTAGCACTTTGAAGACCCTTTGTGCCCCCACATCCAGGAGCGACCTCTCGGAGAACCCTGCCCGCCCACTCTGCGCACTTTCTGCTGCTACAAAGGCCCAGCCTTTCCCAGTACCGCCTCCTCCGCCCTAGGCATTTCTTCTGTCCCTTTTGACAGCCTAGGCGGAATAATCCTTTTGCCGACCCCGGCCCCTGCCCGGCCAGACGCGGCCGCAACCTCGCGCCCAGCCTCGCTTCATTGTTGGGGTCCACCGAGGACACCCCGCCGCGGCCCTTTGTCGCTCTCTCCCCGCGGGGCCGCTCCAGATGCGCCACCGCTGCCAGAGCCCCTCCCGTCCCACGCGCCCTGGGCCGCGCCGAGGCGGCTTTTACGCACCGGGAGGAGTGGGCCCGCCTCGCCCGGTGCCTGCACGGCCGCTGGGCTGCGCCCGCCTTTGTCTGCCTCCTTTGTCTGCCCGGCGCCCTCACGGCGGCGGCGCCTAGGCCTCTGGGGAGCGGGCCCGGAACGCGGAGCGCAGCTGGCGAGGGCGCGCTGGCCGGGAGCGCGCGGGGCCCGGCCCCGGGGCTGCCCCGCGGCTGGGGGCCGACGAGCCCGCCGCCCGCCGCCCCTCCTCCGTCCCCTCCCCGCGCTCCCGCCCCCTTCCCTCCTGCCCGCCCACTCCCCCTTCCTTCCAGCCCGGCTCAGCCTGGGCACATCCTCCCGCCGCCCGCGCACCTCTCCACGCCGTCCCAGTTCCGCGACTCGCCCTCGGCTACGCTCGGCTCCCGCGGGCGCTCGGCTCCGCGCCCCTCCGCCCCCTCCCCGCCGACCGGACAGGTAAGGCACGGCCTCGGCCCGCCCCTGGCCCCGCCCCTCCGCCGCACCTGGCTGCAAGCCCGGACAAAGGTGGGCTACCTGGCGCGCCCAGGGGCGGAGTGCGCGAGGTCCCGAGGCTGGAGGTGAGGATGCTGCTTCCTTCCCAGCCCTCAGACCCGTCCATCCGCCAGTCCTTCAGCCGCCTCCGCTCCTCGACGCGTCTCCCCGCAGCCCCTGCTCTGCTCCCCGTCTCCCCGTCCGTCCACCTGCAGCCGGACGCCCACTTTTCCACGCTCTGACACTCGGCCTCCCGCGCTCCCTCGCCGCCTTCTTGGGGTCCCAGCTCGCGCCCACTCGCCCCCTCTGCACTAATTTTCTCTCTCCGGGACCCAGTCTCCCTTTGTCTCTCTGTCTCTGAGTCTCCGGGTGGTCTCTCAGGCGGGAGACCCCAGTCCGCCACTGTAGAAACATGCCTTCGAAGACTCCCTGAGCCCGGGGCAGAGCTGGAGGGCGTGCCCTCCCGCCCCTATCGAGGCTGCCCTGGGGGCTGGGGTGTGTGGCCGGGGTGGGGGCGCTGAGTGCTCCCGGAACCAGCACCGTTGGTGGCCCCGCGCCCTCCCATTTGGGCCCTGGCCAGTACTCAGCCTGGCACCCCCGACGGCGCTGGTCTTTCTCCTGTGGCCTCCCGCTCTCCACCACAGGCTTTTGGCATTTCTCCGTCCACTTGCCAAGGGTCTCAGCCGCCTTCCGGGCCGGGGTATGAGATGAGAGAGGGCCGGGGTTTCCCGCCAAGTCGTCCTCGCCTTCCTGGGCTGGGTGCTCCCTGGGCCTCCCTCTCCCCGCGGTGGTCTTCCCTGCCTGGTGTGCCCACTCCACGCTGCCTACCTTCAGCCCGGTGACACACGGTGTCTGGAACTGGTTCAGTACCATGCGTCTGGGGTCGGGCACGTGGGGTTCTGAGAGTGATCCTGGACAAAGGAATGCACCTCTCTGAGCCTCAGTGTTCCTGTCACAAAACAGGGATGGCGCTAGTCCCTACCTAAAGGGATGTGTTTGGAAATAGTGGGGTGCAGCCTGGTGCTAGTTCGCAGGCCCGTGGGGGGGGGGGGCGGGGGGGTATCTACAGACCTGGAGCGGGTTGGGGATAGGGGGTTCGGCAGAAATGGATCTCAAAGTTAAGGCTTAGAGACACTTCAGAGTAAGCCCCCAGCCACAGCCTCTTCCCCCATCACTTCCTGTCACCATCACCATCACCCTCTCGTGCCCATACGGGCGTCCACACCCTTGCAAGCACTCTTCTCTTTCTCCTCCTCCTCTTTGCTTGTCCTAAAATCAGTTAAAACAATCAGGGCCAAAGGGTCACTTTTTTCAAAGTGAAATCAGTGTGGCTTCGCTGGTGTTGCCAACAGCTGGTTGCCCTTCAGAAGGCGTCCCATGACTCACCCCCAATTCTGAACCTCAGTGATGTCTTTTATAGAGACACCGGCTCACCGGCCATTTCCTTTCCTCTGGAGAATTGTCTTGCTGGCTCCTAGACCTGCTGTGTGCCCAAGCCCCCTGACCATGGCCTAGGTTGTCATAACAGGTGACACACCATTCCAGGAGCCTGGCAGTGACATGGCCTGAGTGTCTTAATGAGGGCAACTTCAGAAGAGGGAAACCCCTCAGCTGGCAGTTTCCAGGCTCCCCTGGCTGAGTTCTGGTTTCAGCCACAGCCAGGGCTGGCAACTGGAGCCTTTCTCTTTAGTGGCAAGGAAAGCCGGATATCCCCGCAACATCTCCCATCCAGGCTCCTGCTCGAAATCCTGCCTGGCAGACAGGCCCTGCTTTGGTGAACCTGGCCCTTCATACTGTCTCTGCCCCCTGCCAACTCAGAGGCTCGAGAACCTTGCTCAGCTCCTCCCTACCCCCTCCTCTGCCTTCCTCCCCACTATTCAATTCACCCCCTCTCCCCAACCCACAGCCCTCAGTGGCTTGATGTGGCCACTCAGTTAACTACAGAGACCTCAGCCCAGCTCAGTGCTGCCCTGCCTGTCTCTTAGCATTGCCACCTCTGCATCCCAGGTTGCAGCAACGATGGAGAGCTGACCATCTCCGCAGCCCGTCCTCTGAGCTTTTGCTAGGGCTCTTTCTGCCCTGCCCTATGTTTGATTTCAGCCCTTCTGTCCTTGCTGACCAAGGAGGTCTGATGTCCCCTCCTGTGGGAAGCCCCCCCTGCACTCCCTTGCCTCTCTGTCTCTTGCGGTCTGCACCGCATGATCCCTATCTAAGAGGGGTCTGCTCCTCCCTGGGTGGGGGTGGGTCCCTTCTGCTTATTGTCCCAGTGCCCGGCGTGCAGTAGGGGCTCTGTGCACACCTGTCATATTGAATGTGATTCCCGGTCAAAGGCACAGGAATGAACTGAAAATTGTAAGCCCCAGTGTTTCGCTGAGTTCTGCTGGGTCCTGCTGGCCAGGCCAGGGCAGAGCTGGGTGGGGAAGTTGGAGGGAGAGCAAGTTGCATGGAAATCCCCTGTAGTACTGAGGCTCTGCATCACTCTGGAAGATGAGGGTGGTCTCTGTGCCTGATTATAGGGGCAGAAACAGAGACCAGAGAGGGAGTGGCTCACCCCAGCCGTGCAGATTGGGTTTGAAGCCCAGCTGATCACTCAGCAGCTATGGGACCTGGAGGGAGTTTCTTTGCTTGTGTCAACCAGGAAGGTGATGGAGCAGGGACCCTGGCCTTCCTGACGACACAGCCTGGGAAGATCAGCAACTTCCCTCAGAGACATGGGCAGGTGTGGTGGGGGCAGGTCATAGGAGCACCCCTGCTCTGGCCCATTGGGTTGGAGCTGCCTCTCTCTAGCTCTCTGGCCCTCTCTGCTTGCCCCACTCCAGCCCTCCCTTTCCTCTCAGGGGTGAGCCGCTGTGGCCGATGGTCCCCAGGAAGAGGAAGGCTGTGGGAAGATGGCTGAATCCTTGCTATTAGAGGCTCTGCCACCCCAGGTCCCAGCTTGGCAACCCCCCATGCCCCAATACCATGACTTCCCTTGATGGGATAGATTTGAAGGGGCGGTTATGAGGGATGAGGCTCCTGCTAGAACACAGAGCAACTGGAAGGAGCTCATTGTGGGCCTTACGGTGTTCAGCTGTTCTCTCTGTGGCAGGCTCTGGGTCAAGCCCCAGCTCATGCCACCTACCCTAGACTCACAGCAGCTGCTGGCTGGTGTTCGTTACTGAATGGCAGCATGAGGAGGAGTCTGGAATGTGATGGAGCAGGGATAATGAATCCCATGAGTCACATGGCTGTGGGTTCGAATCCCAGCTCTATCACTTGCTCTACTAGGCGACCTTGGGCAAGTCCCTTGAGTCACTGTCTTAATGTTCCTACACGGCCATTGTTGCTATATCATCTGAAAAATATTATCCACTTCAGGCTCACACCTGCAATCTCAGCACTTTGGGAAGCTGAGGTGGTTGGATCACTTGAGGCCAAGAGTTCGAAACCAGCCTGGCCAACGTGGTGAAACCCTGTCTCTACTTAAAACAAACAAAAAAATACAAAAATTAGCTGGACATAGTGGTGCATGCCTGTGATCCCAGCTACTCAGGAGGCTGAGGTAGGAGAATAGCTTGAACCCGGGAGGCACAGGTTGCAGTGAGCAGAGGTTGCAGTGAGCCGAGACTGCACCACTGCACTCCAGCCTGGGTGACAGAGTGAGACTCTGTTTCAAAAAAAAAAATTATCTACTTCAAAGGGTCAAGTTAAATAATGCATATAGAGATCTGGGCCTAGAACAATAGATAATACCCAAACAAACATACCCATTTCTCAAATGTGGGAATGAAGCCCAGAGAGGTTAATTGACTTGCTCAGGGTCACACAGCCACTAAGTGCTACAGCCAGAATCCACACCCAGGATGGCCTGCCTCCAGGAGTCTGTCCATTCCACAACAGCCTCTGCCAAGCTAAATGGTCTGGGTACCAAGATAATGAATCCTGAGGAATACGGGGGCTGAGGCTTGCTTCCTCCCCGCCCATAAATTGCCTAGAGAGGAGGAAGAAGGGCTGCAAGTACCTGTAATGTAGCAGGAGATAGGACCCAGCTCAGGAGGTGAGCGGGAATACTGGGCCAGAAAGCTGGAGGCCTCTGGATGGGTGGGGCCTCTGAGGAGGCCCCAGGTTTTTTAAGGTGTGAGGCCTGGGGTGGGTGGAAAATCCCAAGGCTACTGTGGGAAAATAAAAGCAGATGGAGCTGCCCCTGCAGGGAAGCCAAACCTCATTTGCCAAGACAATGGTCCACGCCAGGCTGGCCTAGGATGGTCCTGCCCTGCCATCGATCACCCCACCGAGGACAGAGGACACAGCCACCTGCGCCTGCCCTTTGCACACTCAGACACAGATGTACAAATGCTTCCAGAAAACTCCCGGCCCACCCCGCACCCCCCACACACCCCCGCCCGCCACCTTACTCCCTCTGTCTCTCTTTCCCATAGTAACAACAACTACAGTTACTTCACCCTCGCTGTGTCCCGCTCACTCTATAAACCTTTGCTCTCCCGCCAGGCGTGGCAGCTCAGACCTGTAATCTCAGCACTTTGGGAGGCCAAGGCGGGCCTCCCAAAATTATCACTTGAGGTCAAGAGTTTGGGACCAGCCTAGCCAACATGGTGAAACCTTGTCTCTACTTAAAAAAAAAAAAAAAAATGCTGGGCATGTGGTGGCATATGCCGGTAATCCCAGCACTTTGGGAAGCCAAAGTGGACAGATCATGAGGTCAGGAGTTTGAGACCAGCCTGGCCAACATGAAAAAACCCATCTCTATTAAAAATACAAAAAGTAACTGGGCATGTTGGCTAGTGCATGTAATCCCAGCTACTCGGGAGGCTGAGGCAGGAGAATCACTTGAACCTGGGAGGCAGAGGTTACAGTGAGCCGACATCACGCCATTTCACTCCAGCCTGGGCAACAAATGCAAAACTGCATCTCAAAAAAAAACAAAAAAAAAATGGCCGGGCTTGGTATTTCATTCCTGTAATCCC